GAGGGAGATTACCCTAGATAATCGGAGTGGGCACAACTGAATCTTTTGAAGTTCTTTAAAAAGGGCTGAGAAAGGAAATTCTGCCTGTGCCCCTTCCTGACAGCCTGCCGCAGGCAGCTCAGGCTCGGCGGGCCCCGCAGTCGCAGCCAGACATTCCTTGGAATGAGTCTCTTCACGTGCGTGCGTGCGTGCGTGTTGAAGGGAAGTATGTGGTGTAAAGAAAAAGACATACAAAAACACATAATCTAATCTTGAGGCCTGGGAATTTTTAAATTCTCATTTAAAGAATTGTATTCATTTGTCTTGTCCAGAACTAGAGAAACTAAATGGAGTTAATATCAAAATAAGAGGAAACAAGTGAGCAGGTAATGAGCCCATGTTATTTACACTTTCAGTACAGCGAAAGAAAACTGTGAGGGATGGACTTTGTTGTTTTGTTTTCTTGAAAATTAAAATTCTATGGATACAGAATAGGAGAAAATAATAACTTCAGAGGAAAATATCAAGTCTACCAATAACCCAAAAAATGTAACTTAGTAAACAATTTATGGAAGTTAATCTAATTCTTAGCCTTTAAGAGCAGGAAAATAAATTATTCCTAAGGATCAGCCCCAAAAGGGCCACATGGATTAGTGACTTCATTGTGTCACTGTCAGTCTTCCTGGCTGTTGAGAAGAATATGAGTAATTAATCAAGTTTTACTGGAAGAGCTGTTTCTATACACTTGTGTATGTATGTTAAATATATGGTGCAAAAGATGAGGTCAAGAAACACGCTTGATGTTCAGTATAAAATGTTCTAATAAGAAAAAAAGACTCCGGAAAATTCTAAGAGTTGTCTGGTTGAATCTGCTAAAACAAAGCATATTTTGAAGAATTCAAAGTCAGAGCTCCATAAAAATCACATCCAAGTCTCCTAAATTATCCTCAATGTCCCTCCTCCTTCTGATTTTAATCTATGCACTGATGTAACAGCTTGCTTTTCAACAATGTAAACTGTGAAAAGTCTAAAAATTCATAGCCCAAAGGAGTATGGGCTCAACAAAAAAGGTCTAAACCAATGATGAAAGACTAACTCCTTACACTTGAGGATCATTCCTCACTGTTAGAGAAAAAATAACAAAAAGCAAATAGCTATTTGTACTCTCTTGATTAGCCAGTAAAAAACTTCAACTTCTTAATGAATACTTTCTTTTTTGCCAATCAATGATGTTGAAGACCATAGCTTCCCAATTTATTCCCATCCCATGTTGCCTTTTATTAATAGATACTGCAACAAAGAATTTACACTGACTTAGAATAAAAAGTAGATAATAAAGACCTATGAAGCACTGAGGAACCTAAATCCAGAGGCAGATATATCGAAAAACTACGCCCCTCCAAAGCACACTGTTTTAACTTTTTTAACCTTGTGAGTCCCATTCATCTTTCCTCTCCTTACCTTTCCAATTCAGCTATCTTCTTGTCTTTGTCATTTTTCTCATTTTCCACCTCCTTCAGGATTTCCAAGAGGCGGTCAACTTCCGCCTGGGCCTTGCCAGATTCATCTCTGTACCTGGCAATCTCTCTCTCCAACTGCTGTATTCGGTCACTCATTTCTGGACTGGCTCTGGCTTCCAGTGTTGCCTCATGTGCCTG